AGAACAGCAGTCATCAAGTCCATTCAAAATCCAAGGGAACAATGAGGTTTTGAGTTTCAATTCTCCCCAATAATAACATCCAACCTGCAGGCAGGATGTAACTCATGGACCACTGCTGTTCTCATTTATCTACAAGAGGGCACCAATGAAATCAGGGGGCTTTAATTCTATTGAGAATTTGTAGCACTTATGATGCATATACTTATAGTGTTCCCACTTTAGCCAAGAATAAACGTGTGAGACAAATTAAAAAAACCAAGTACCAACATGATTTATGTGGCAGATAGTGAAGTACAATGCAGCCTTTAGAAAGAGCTAATGCAGGTGTCTTCAAACGTGACAGCTTTAAGACTTGTGGACTTCAACTCCCAGAATTCCTCCTCCAGTCATATTAGCTCAGGAATTCTGGGAGTTGAAGTCCACAAGTCTTAAACTTGCCAAGTTTGAAGACCCTTGGGCTAATGTAAAGGAAAATACAGTTAAAGCAGTGGTTTGTTTCACATTTTTTTACTACTGGTTCTGTGGGCATGGCTTGGTGAACGTGGCAGGGGAAGGATAAAATCCTCATTTCCACCCCACTCCAGAGAAAGGATATACTGCAAAATCTCCATTTCCACCCCACTCCAGGGGAATAATACTGTAATCTCCATTCCCTCCCCACCCCACTAACCTGCTTTCCAGCTCCGTTCTCCTGTGCAGGGCAACAAAAGAAGACCTCAGCTGGGACTCTAATCAGGTGGGACTCGGGAGGCAGAGAAGAGAGGGGGGCAGGCCCAACCAGAGGTAGTATTTACTGGTTCTCCAAACTACTCAAAATTTCCCCTACCAGTTCTCCAGAACCTGTCAGAACTGGCTGAATACCAACTTTGGTTTGTTTTCTAAATCATCCATCTGTCCTGTAAGAAGCCAGTTAATCTATATTCTGTGTTAAGAATGTTTTAGCACTGAATAATTGTAAAACATGGAGTATTTTACAAAGCAGAGATTAGACATACTATCAAGTGTTTCAAGAGTATGTTTTTTTACATCAAATATTTTGTGCTGAGTTTGCCTTACTGTTTATTTTGTAGAGCTCCAAGTTCTGAATGTCATCTTTGAAGAGATGACATTCAGAAATTCTGTGACATAGAGCTCCACAAAATAAAAATAACTATAAAATAATCCAGATTCCTACTGTAAGAACAGGCAGAAAAGCACTTATTAGGCTAGCTGACATGCACTGCAACTTTCAAGGAAATTGATCTTTTAAACCCCAATCCAATGTTTATCTGGAAATGTGTCATTTTAGCAAAAATTGGAAATAGGTAATAGCATATATCTGTATTTATTAAGCATTTATTTTGTTACAAAAGCTAAAAGTTAATATGGAAAAATATAGAAGTAGAAAAAAAGATAAAGAAAAAAGTTGAAAACAATGAAAGAAAAACCCTTAATGAAGGAACTTCTGGTCTTGTTTACAGCTATTCCCCACCTTCAGAAGTGCATAATGTAGTTCCTTTCTCTCCATTTATAGCTATTTTTAATTAGTAAATCCAGAAATGCTCAGTTCATCTTCATCCATTTTCAATAAAAAAAGTCCACCAAGAGTTCCTAGACTTTTGTAAATAATATAATGTGAATATTAGCCTCTGTATTATACCAATGTGTAGTCTGATAGCAATTTTTAAAAAAGGGAAAAAAGTTCAGTTCCAGAACAGTATTGTAGGTATATGGATAGAAAACATTTGCTTAGATCAGGCCAGTGGTGGGATTCAATTTTTTTTACTACCGGTTCTGTGGGCGTGGCTTGGTGGGCGTGGCAGGGGAAGGATACTGTAAAATCTCCAGTCAGAGGTGGGATTTGCCAGTTTTCTGAACTACTCAAAATTTCCACGACCGGTTCTCCAGAACTGGTGAGAATCTGCTGAATACCACCTCTGGATCAGGCATGTCCAACCCATGGCCCACAGGCAACCTTGAACAGACAGTAATGCACTCCACAAGATAATAAATAGATAAAAATAATAAAGTTGTGATTTATATACATTAACTATTTTACATATTTTATATATGGCCCAAGATAATTCCTCCTTATTCAATGTGACCCAGGCAATCCAAAAGTTTAGACAATTATATGCATCCAGTCATTGCTGATTCTTAGCAACCAGAGAGATCCATAATAATCTGTCCCTTACTTGGTCTTTTAGCTCTTCCAATACCGTACCCTTTGTTTCTGTATCCAAGTCTATCCACTTTACTGTTTGATCTCTTTTTCTCTTCCACATTTCCCAGCATTAGAGCCTTCTCCAGAAAGCTAGATCTTTGCATAATGTGTCCAAAATAGGATGTTACACCTATTAGTAACACATACATCTTAGTAACACAGTTACAGGGAAATCCCAAATTTTTTTACTTTTTATAAGATCCATCTTCAAAGATGCCTAAATAAATAGAACAGTCCCTGGGTAAGAGGAAAAGTTACCCTTTGAATAGTTA